TATTGTCCTTCAAGCATTACATGTACATGATTTTTAAAATGTTCTTTCTTTGGACTTATTTATATGAAGTACTTCTAAATTCTCTGCTAAAAAGCATGGGTATCGACTAATAATATGTTTAGAATAAATGCACACCATATACGCGCGTGTGGCAGTAGCATAAAAAATCTTTAGTTTTGTTATCTTGATGAGAACATGTTATTTTATTGATCTTATAGTGCAACATGTGGATCTTCTGTGTGTCTTTGTTGTGGACACTGTGAAGGATATTAGCAAAATTCATCGTTGATATATTTTTTCAGTTACACAATTCAATAATTGACACAAAATTACAGTTACCATCGGAGGACACCGTGAAGAAGGATATACCTCATCTACCCACCGTCAGCAAGTTGAGGTTAGATGTGAACACATGGTGGCATGGCCATACCATTGGTGTAACCCTTGCAAGAATCATCTAAAGGTGTAACAACATCGAAAACATCTCCATTCGCGTCCGTGGCTTGGTAAGCTTGATCACTTAGCATATTTAATTTGTATTCATTCACTTCCTTTTAAGATGGTTTTTTTAATCTAATTTATGGTATTCCGTCATTACCTTTTTATCGCTGATTTTATTCAATCGAACTTTCAAAACTTTGATCATCGATGCTCTTAAATTTTTGTAGTTGGAAAGCACAAAATTCATACGTATAGAGTTTTCTTTATAAGAACTTCTACAATAAAAAATAGTAGTGGTTAAAATTGCATACCACAGTCTGAATAAAGTGAACACCGTTATATCTGAATATAGATATAGTATAACCATCTAAAACATATTAATGTATATTGTTTAGAAAAAAACATTTTAGTATTGAGACACCAATAATGTAACACATAATTAGAACCGTAAAAGAAACCCTTAATTGTTCTACACCAACTTAAAAGCATATTGTCGATAAATCAACCATACATTGACATAATTTCTCCTCTATATTGATATAATTGCAGTGGGAAGTATGTTCGGATGCTCAGTGTAACTGCAGTCAGCCAAAGGGTTGGGAGGACCAGAAGATACAACTAGATAACCTAAAGAGGGCAGAGTTCAAGGGATTTATACCGTTCGATGACCGCAAAAGCCTCTTGCGACTATTGCTGAAGAACGCGCCAGCTCTTGAGAAGATAACCGTGAAGTTTGACCCCTCTTACATATTTGAAACCCCAAAAGAAGCCAGGAATAAGATAGATTTTGGCATGCCTGGTTATCAAGGGTCTTGGACCCCATGTGCTTGGATGTTCCGTGGGAGTGGCATTTTCGATGGCGCCACGAAATATGAGTGGACACGAGAGAAGCCAACAGATGAGGGAATATGATCGATCCTTTCAAATAATATGATAATTATTCTAGTGTGATAAGTGTGATTGTTCTTTTCTTGTTTCAATAATTCTGCTAGTAAAAAAATGGTACTAATATGTTTGTATTGGAGTTTTCGCTAGAAATTAATTAATTATTTCATGGTCACTCTATACTGCATTTTTTTTGTTTCATTTTATATATGTCTATCCTTGAGAGATATATGAAGTATCAAAATTTTTAGTACAAATTTAATACCTTCAAGTACCATATTTTACATTAGAAAATACGGTTCTATCAAATACATTTTTAAGCACTGTAAAATCACTCTTATCTATATTTGCAACCAGTACTTGGGTCATTGCACTTGCCAATCACCATGAATGACTGATAGGTACTACCTTCGTTTCAGCTTATAAGACTTTCTAGCATTACCTATATTTATATAGATGTTAATGAATCTAATCACATATATATGTCTAGATTCGTTAACATATATATGAATGTGGATAATGTTAGAAAGTCATATAATATGAAACGGAGGAAGTACATATGCTTCTCTGCAAATCCTCGGTTTCTTGCTAGCGATAAGAGAGAAATAAAATATTTGAAATAATGTAACTGAATTAATTTTGCTAGCGATGAGAGAGACCGTATTGCACTACTACACAAATGATTTTCATGCTCCGCGCTGTTTCCTCCGCTAGATCCTGCGCCACAGCCGCGAAGGCATCTGGAGGAGGAAGCTACGACAAGCGATGGCGTGTGATGTCAGCTTCATGGTGGTGGTAGTAGACTAGTTACTTTCTCACCACTGATATAAATTTCACTCTGAGTAGTAAGTGTAAATCAATTGTTTATAAATACATATGGGTAATTTATGTGGTGGATCTATCCATCTAAATTTAAATCCTAAGACGGATGCTCGTATTTATGGCTTATTATTCTTTCAGTGAAAATAAATTTACATACTTATTATTTATTTTTTTTGAGTTGATTTATTATTAAAATTAATTTAAACACGATTTATATCTTACTCCATCCGTTCCAAAATATAATAACTTTTAGGCCTTAGAATTTGTCTCAAAATATAATAACTTCTCCACCAACACTCTCTTCCCAACTCGTCACAACCCTCCCGCATTCACTTTTCCCATCCACTAGTCATCCAATCACAACTCTCTACCATTTTCTACCTACTTTCTTAATAATCGTGTCTAACTCTAAAACTTCTTATATTATGAGACGAAGGGAGTATGTATTTGCATAAATTTTTAAATAAGTTAAATGGTCAATATGTGTCCAAATGTAAACAAGAGGAAATATACACGTATATATCGTGCATGTATCATTGCCGTTTTTTTGACAAATTGACCCTTTTCAAAAACTTAATTCGAAACTAACCCCTGCCAAAAACTTCAACCAAAACTAGGCCGTCGGCTCAGCGCCAAGCGCATTGGCGCTGAGGTTGGCCGTGTCAGCGCCAACGGGACTGGCGCTGACATTGTGCCACCGTGGCGGCCGGGCCGATCCCCTAGCTGACGTGGCAGCTACCTCAGCGCCAACCGCTTCGGCGCTGAGGTGCCCAACCTCAGCGCCAAGTAAGTTGGCGCTGACCTTGACTACTTAGAGCCCGGCCGAGGCCGCCCCAGCCAGTTCTTCCTCCGTTTTTTCCCCAGCCGCCCGCCTAGGGTTCGGTCGCCACCGCGTTCTCCTCGCCCAATCTCCCCCAGAAACCTCTCTAATCGAAGGTGATTTGTGCGGCATTGAGTTTGGGATCGGAAGAGAAGGTAAACCCCTCTATAAACCCTAAGTTCCCCAAAGTTTTATTGGATATTTTGCATTGTTTTGGTTGTAGACGTGGTTTGATAATAGTTGGCTAAGGATGGATTATTAGATGGATAATATGGGTGGGGATGAAGTGTGGAAGTGGCATATCTTTATCCATTTGGTTGTTATTGATACATTTGACAAAATATATTTGGGATGGATGTTTGGTGATGCACTAGGGTTTGATGGGAGATGGATGTGTGGTGATGGCCTAGGATGTGGGATGGATTTGTGGTGATTGAGAGGGTTTGAAAGGGGTTGATGTGTGGTGAAGGGTAGGTAATTTGTAGGAGTAGAGTTTTTTTTTATCAATAATGTGTAGTATTTGAGTAATGTACTTATTTATTGGAAAAATTAGACATGTTGTTAGCTTTTGAAGTATTGGTATTGCAATGGTAATTACATATTATTTTCAAGTAATTAATGTTTATGCATGGGTTTAAAATTGTAGATGGATAGATTGGTCCGGCTTCATTATGGTGGTTGTGTGCTAGATGAAAGTACACATGGAAGCCAATTTGAGGGAATGACAGTTAGACAATTAGTGTTTTTTGCGAAGCCTACCTTTGAGGAGTTAATGTCTCGCATCAAGCATGAATTGGATTGGAATGATGAGTCGGTTGGTATGCAAGGGAGATACGATGTGGGCGGCGGTGTCATGTCACATAAATTTATGTTAGACTTGAATGGAGAGATCGAATGGCAAACATATATAGATATAGTATTGGGGTCACATTTCAAATCTCTTGAGGTGTTTGCATGGAAGAAAGATGGTAGGATAGGGAAGAAAGAACTTATAGAATCACCCATTAGCTGTCACGAACTGTCGGAGAGGTGTAGTAGGAAGGAAGAATTGATTGAGGAAGACGTGGAGGGGGGCGAGGGAGTAAATGATATGGCGGATGTGGAGGTCAGGGAAGAGAATGACCCGGTAAGGGAGGAAGTACATGCAGAGGAGAATGTGCCGTTAAGGGAAGAAGTACATGCAGAGGACAATGTGCCGTTAAGGGAGGAAGTTAATGTGGAGGAGAATGTGCCGGTAAGAGAGGAAGGAGATGTTGAGGATGGTCGGGAGGTAGGAGATGATGTGGAGTTGCCTGAGGAAGAAGCGAATGGTAAGAATGTAAGTATGGGCCTAAGGGAGTTGGCTAGGCTGAAATTCTATACCCGAGAGGAGTGTGAGGAGGCTATGATACGCAGTGGATTGAACCCAGGCTGGTTGGAGTATGATACAGAGGATGAATTGGATGAGTCCGCTTCCGACTCCGATGATGATCGTCCAGTGCGTAAGATGTCAGAGCATGAAAGGACTGTGTTTGCGAAACTGGTGGGTAGAAACCCGGAAATAACACAATTCGAGGATCTTACCAGATCTGGGCTAGCAATTGCTGATGGGGATCCACAATATGACGGTGCCTTCGAACCAATGTGTGGTGAACCAAGGAAGGGGTTGGAGTTTCGATCGATGGATGATCTGAAAATATGGCTACAGAGTTATTCTATCCGTGTCCACCGGCCGTACCATGTGAAGGAATCTAACGCGTCAGTAAAGTATACTGTGGCTTGTCTCGATCGCCATTGCAAATGGCAGATTAATGCAAGGAAGAGTGGAGGAGATAGGTGGCGGGTGACTAGGGTGGGCGAAGACCACACATGCTGTAGTGCGGAAGTAACCGGCAAGCATTTGCAACTTACTTCAAGGTTTATTGGAAACAGGTTACAGGCATTTGTGCGAGCTGAACCAACTTTATCTCCAGCAGCGATTGTCGAGGCAGTTGAGCAAATATGGCACTATCGGCCTACGTATGGCAAAGCATGGCGTGCTAAGCAAGTTGCTATGAAGGTCATTTGGGGAGATTGGGACGAGGCGTATGTGGAGGTGGCCCCCCGAATGTGTTATGAAGCTTCCAATAAGGCTGTGCAGGACTCGTACTCCCCTAGGTTTGAACCTTACCTAGATCCATCGCAGTGGCCAAGTTATGATGGAGAGTTCTTCGTGCCCGACTTGTCGTTAAAGAACAACACACGAGAAAGAAGAAGGACAAGAAGGTTCAAGAACGATATGGACAAAGCATACAAAGGCTCAGCCAACCGACGGTCACAAAAGCCGAACAATACAAATTCAGAGCCGGTCATGCAAAATAGATGCTCGCTATGCCACGAACTAGGCCATAAGAAAACTAGGTGCCCGAAGCGAGACAAGTCTAAGGATCGACCGAAAAAGCGCCGTAGGACGGGGGGAGGTGGTGAGGGTAGCACACAGGTGGGATTGGATGACATTCATTTGCTAAGTTCATATTGTTGCATCAATGTTTACTTTCTGTTGTCCTCCTTTCCGTTCTCATTGTGATTTTTCCATTTAATATTTTTTCAATTACTAATGATTCCATTTTCATTTGCAGGATGGAGCACTTTCCGGGGTTGGAGGATTTCTACGAGGAGAAGCACCGGGCCCCACAGATTGCCAGCGGAGAGGTTAGCATCAACAATATTCCATTTTTTTATGATCGAATTTATTTTTTCTTCTTTGATTTTAGTTTGTACAGATAGATCATCCATCATAGAGATATCTCAAATCAAAGTTCAGGAGCCTCAAAGCAGAGCATGTAAACACACAGATCTTCTTTTCAGTTTTCTTGCTCAATCCCAAAATTAAAGTTCCTAGTTGCATGATGTATTTTCCACAACCCTTGTATATGATATATTGTCGCTAACTTTATGTTATTATGTTTGTCTATTGATGCAGCGCTTGAAGACCCTTCGAGTCAGAGGTCACACGGCGCACATACTGTTCGACGACCGGTACGTCCCGTACCTACGGCGGGCGAAGCTCTTGGCGTTCGTGACCATGGCGCAGCGACCGGTGCCTCTGTACAACGCCGCTGCTCTGACGGCCCTAGTGGACCGGTGGCGTCCAGAGACACACACCTTCCACCTACCGTGCGGGGAGCTGACGGTCACTCTGGAGGACGTCGCCATGATCCTGGGTCTTCCTATCCGGGGTCAGGCGGTCACAGGTGACACAGCGTCAGGGAATTACTAACGAGTCTTCGTATTCATTTGTTAATTTTTTTGCAATTACTAATGATTCCATTTAATTTCCGGTTACAGGTGACACAGCGTCGGGGAACTGGAGGGAGAGGGTCGAGGAGTACCTTGGTCTGGAGCCTCCAGTGGCACCTGATGGTCAGAGGCAGACGAAGACATCAGGGGTTCCTTTGAGTTGGTTGCGAGCCAACTTCGGTCAGTGTCCCGCTGAGGCAGACGAGGCTACAGTACAGCGATACTGCAGGGCGTACGTGCTGTACATCTTCGGCAGTATTCTGTTCCCTGACTCTGGTGGAGACATGGCTTCTTGGATGTGGCTGCCATTGCTCGCGGACTGGGACGAGGCGGGTACCTTCAGCTGGGGGTCGGCTGCCCTAGCCTGGTTGTACCGGCAACTCTGTGATGCTTGCCGAAGGCAAGGCGGGGACGCGAACCTAGCAGGCTGTGTTTGGTTGCTACAGGTAAGTTCACGCATGTTATGTTTCATAACATTTCAATTTCTTGCTAACATGTTGGAAGCTAACGTATGTGACGCAGGTTTGGATGTGGATGAGGCTTCCAGTTGGTCGGCCCATGTGGAGGACCCATCAGGCTTGGCCGCACCAGGATGCAGACCGACGTCCCACTGTAGCTCACCTGTGGGAATCGGTCCCATCTCCAGTAGTAGGCCGCAGGAATTTGGCGTACTACCACTACACAAACGAGATGGACTACCTACAGCCAGAACATGTAAGCTATTCAGGGTTCTATCACACATGAAGATGGTTTCTTACTATATAGTACTAAATGTGCTTCAATGTGTTTTATTTTTGTTGCTGCAGGTGGTGTGGATGCCATATCAGGCACAGGAAGTGCTCGAGCTAGAACTGAATCCCATGTGCCATATAGAGGATGCGTTGAAGACCCTACGGTGCCCACTGATCTACTTCTATGCAGTGGAGTTCCAGATGTGCCACCGCGTGATGCGGCAATTCGGGAGGCTTCAAACAATCCCGCACCGTTTCTCCACGAGTATCGACCTACACAAGTTAGTAATTTCACTTAACAATTTATTTTGCTTGCCCAATCAGTCACTTCAACATTTACTACATATTTGAGTTGGACATTTTGCATACGTGCAGGGTGGACCGTCGGAAGAACAAGAAGGTGACTGATTGGGCTTACTACCATCAGGATCATATCAATCCTACAGGCTCGAGAGCTCTTGCGGACCGTCAACGACGCGGGAGTGGCGCTAGGCACGGCTCCTGGCTCCGAAGGAGAGGGCGGCACCCTCCGCAACGCCCTACAGGTAATCGTTGGAAAGAGATGAAACTACGGTGTTTTCTTCCAAAAGCGATAACTTAACATGGATTATTTTTTATGCAGAGACTACGGCAGCGATGTCGGAAGTTGGCAGCAAGGCTCGGCTGCAGGTCGACTGATGTGGTCGAACATGCTCATGCCCACCAAGAGGGGGATGAAGAAGGGGAGGTGGGTGACGAGGAGGGCGAGCAAGACAAAGAGGCGGAGGAAGGAGATGAGGAGGAAGAAGGGGATGAGGACAGAGAAGAGGAGGCGGATGAGCTCGGTCCCTCGCAGCTAGAGGACGCACCAGAGTTGTCACAGCCGGATATCTCGCAGCCCGGCCCGTCTCGACCACGACGCCGGCGGGCTCCTTCGCAGGACTGGAGGTACACCCCCGACGTGCCTCGTCCTCGCACTAGAGGTAGGAGGAGGTGAGTGCATGGTTCAATGGATGGATGGATAGATGGATGGACTTGATGCATGGTTCGATGGATGTATGGACTAGATGTATGGACTCGACTGGATGTATAGACGAGGATCGATGGGATGTTTTTATTTCTTATATATATGGACTTCATATATGGATGTATTGATGGATTCTATGGATGTATGGAATGATGTTGGGATTGATGGATGGATGTATGTTTTGTATGGTTCTCTGGATATATTACTGCCTGTAAATTTCTGTGATTTGATGTTTGCCTCTGTTGTGTGCAAAGTTTTGCTAAAGTTTAGCAGGGCTGGGACGTCAGCGCCATGCTAAATGGCGCTGACATGTCCAAACTCAGCGCCAGTGCACCTGGCGCTGAGGTCCCAGCCCAGCCATCCAGAAGGCTTGCTGGGCTGGGCCACGGCCGAAACGGCCAAGTCCCACCTCAGCGCCAGGTGGGCTGGCGCTGAGTTTCCAACAGTCAGCGCCATTATGGCTGGCGCTGAGGTCCCAGCCCGCAAGCCATCCAGCAGGCTTGCTGGTCTGGGCCTTGGGGGTTGCGGCCAAGTCCCACCTCAGCGCCAGGTGGGCTGGCGCTGAGTGTCCCACTGTCAGCGCCATTATGGCTGGCGCTGAGGTCCCAGCCCGCAAGCCATCCAGCAGGCTTGCTGGTCTGGGCCTTCGGGGTTGCGGCCAAGTCCCACCTCATCGCCAGCCCACCTGGCGCTGAGTGTCCCACTGTCAGCGCCATTATGGCTGGCGCTGAGGTCCCAGCCCGCAAGCCATCCAGCAGGCTTGCTGGTCTGGGCCTTCGGGGTTGCGGCCAAGTCCCACCTCAGCGCCAGGTGGGCTGGCGCTGAGTATCCCACGGTCAGCGCCATTATGGCTGGCGCTGAGGTCCCAGCCCGCAAGCCATCCAGCAGGCTTGCTGGTCTGGGCCTTGGGGGTTGCGGCCAAGTCCCACCTCAGCGCCAGGTGGGCTGGCGCTGAGTATCCCACGGTCAGCGCCATTATGGCTGGCGCTGAGGTCCCAGCCCGCAAGCCATCCAGCAGGCTTGCTGGTCTGGGCCTTGGGGGTTGCGGCCAAGTCCCACCTCAGCGCCAGGTAGGCTGGCGCTGAGTGTCCCACTGTCAGCGCCATTATGGCTGGCGCTGAGGTCCCAGCCCGCAAGCCATCCAGCAGGCTTGCTGGTCTGGGCCTTCGGGGTTGCGGCCAAGTCCCACCTCAGCGCCAGGTGGGCTAGCGCTGAGTATTCCACGGTCAGCGCCATTATGGCTGGCGCTGAGGTCCCAGCCCGCAAGCCATCCAGCAGGCTTGCTGGTCTGGGCCTTGGGGGTTGCGGCCAAGTCCCACCTCAGCGCCAGGTGGGCTGGCGCTGAGTGTCCCATGGTCAGCGCCATTATGGCTGGCGCGGAGGTCCCAGCCCGCAAGCCATCCAGAAGGCTTGCTGGTCTGGGCCTTGGGGGTTGCGGCCAAGTCCCACCTCAGCGCCAGTCCGGTTGGCGCTGAGGTAGCTGCCACGTCAGCTGGGGATCGGCCCGGCCGCCACGGTGGCACAATGTCAGCGCCAGTCCCGTTGGCGCTGACACGGCCAACGTCAGCGCCAATGTGTTTGGCGCTGAGGCGACGGCCTATTTTTGGTTGAAGTTTTTGGCAGGGGTTAGTTTCGAAATAAGTTTTCCATAAGGGTCAATTTGTCAAAAAAACGGTGTATCATTGTGTTGCTGATCGATAAAGTACACGTATACGCGCGCGTACAAATTGTATTTGAATTCGAATAATTATTCATCACATTCATAATATACCCAACATAAACAAGGCAGTCTTAACAATCAACCAAAATACGACTGAATAGTTTCTATAAACAAAACGACTGAATAATACTCCAATTCAAATACGCATGCATGCCGTGCATAAGTCCACTTTTTATATATATTTTAAAAAACCCAAACAATGGGAGCATACGTGTCTCGAAAATTTTCATCGATTGACGATCTATCGATTCCAAGAAGATGAACGACACGACGACGACTTCTCCGGCGGCGCCGGCGCCGGCGGCCGTCGATGATCTGATCAGCGAACTCGACGACGCCGTGCTCCTGCACATCCTCAGCTTCCTGCCGTCGGCGGGTGACGTGGCGCGCACCACCGTGCTGTCGAGGCGGTGGCGCCACCTCTGCGGCATCGCGCCCTGCCTCCGCTTCGCCGTCGGGCTGGGCTCCTTCGCGGAGGACGACGACGAGGACGAGGAGGAGCACGGCGCGCGTTGCCACGACGCCGCCCGGCGCCTCATCGCCGGCGCGGACGCCTGCCTCGCGCGGCGGCGGCACGCCGCCGCCGCCGGAGTACACGACGCCCTCCGTTTCCTGGAGATCTCGCTGGTGTACGGCGACGCCGACAACGACAGCAGCTGGTACAAAAGGGAGCCCGTGGGGAAGAGGTAGTACATCCACGACCACCACCATGAGGCTGACATCACGCCGTCGCTCGTCGACTCGTGGCTCCGCTTCGCCGAGTGCCACGTGACGGGCAGCTTCGTCCTCGAGCTGCCGCTGAACGCGGCGGCGGCGGCCAAGCAGGATCAGGAGGAAGCCGACGAGGCGAAGAGAGACGTGGCGCCGCCGGTAGAAGAGGGAGAAGCGGTGGTGGTAGAAGAGGAAGAGTTGGACTTGCTGCCGGCGGCGGAGGAGGAAGCTGTCGAGTTGCCAGCCACGGCGAGAGCGACGGCCATGAGCCTTACCCTCTGTGACGCCAACACCGTCGTCCCGATCGCCAGCGCCGGAGCCTTCCGTGCGCTCACCGACTTCACCCTCTGCCGCGCCAAGATCAACGCATACGATAACGACGACCTCCGCCTCGGCCACCTCCTCTCGTCGCCGTGCTGCCCGCGGCTGCGGAGGCTTGAGCTCCGCCACGTCGCCGGCCTCATCCGGCTCCGCCTCGACGCCGTCGCCGGCACGCTCGAGGAGCTCCGGCTGGTGTACCTCCCCGACCTGCGGCGGCTCCACGTCGACGCGCCGGGGCTCCGGCTGCTCCGCGTCGGCCACTGCGACAACCTGCCGTACTCCGACGACCCCGGCGCGGCGAGGGTGTCGGCGCCGAGGCTGGAGACGCTGGCGTGGGACGGCCTGGAGTACAGGGCCTGCAGGGAGTTCATCGCGACGCCGACCGTCCGGCACCTCAAGAAGCTCTCCCTCTACTCGCATGGCGGCGCCGACGACGAGACCAACGTCGCCGCCGTGCGCCTCCTCAAGAGTTGTACGGCGGTGGATCATCTCGAGCTGAGATTAACAGTCCGCGTGGTATGTGATCTCCACTTGATCTCTCTGCCTTGTTGGTTGTTGCATTGGTACTTCATTCGTTTTTTAGTAAACTTCACAAAATTATACGTACTTTGATCATACTATCACAAAACTATATATTTAAATCGTTATATCATAAAACTACATATTTATCACAAAATTATAGATTTAAGGTTAAATATTACAAAACTACATATTTAATGTTGAAGTTATCACAAAAACTATAACTTTTAGAGTTTAAATCCCTAGCACCATTATTATGCTGGAGTTATAAACATTATTGTTTTGTGACTAAATTGGTTCTAAACATGTAGTTTTGTGATAATTTAGTAACTAAGCATGTAGTTTTGTGACATTTCATCTGAAATGTGTAGTTTTATGATAAATTTGGTGTTAAATGTGTAGTTTTGCGATACACCAAATTAAATCCGTAGTTTTATGATAATTTGATCATAGTATCCGTAGTCTTGTGAAATTTACTCTTCGTTTTTGTGAAATGCATTTGATCATTCATTTTATTAAAAACTTTATGTAATTATTATTTATTTTATTATAATTTGATTTAGTATCAAATATTGTTTAAGTATGACTTACTTTTTTTATATTTACATAAAAAATTAAATAAAATGAATAGTCAAATATTTTTTAAAAAAACGGAGGTAATGTGTTTTTGTCATGAAGATTTGTACATGTCAATGGCTACAATAATTAAAGACACTTTAAAATATGAGTGCAAGTTAACCACGGTGCAGCCCTTGAGGCGGTGGATCACATAGAAAAAAATTAATAGAGCTATCAGATCCCTCTCATGCTTTGATGATAGCCATCCTTATATCACGCACAG